TTTTAATGATAGATTTCTAGGAGTTCCAAGACCAACATCTATCCATTTTGCTGCTTGTATTAACATGAACACAACATAAATGTGTCTTTTATCTTATTTATTCTTAGAATATTGGCAGAACTTGTGAGGTAGTTGCTGTGGCGTCTACAATATTCACAAGGTGAATCATATGGTTAGATAAATAAGGATTCGAAGATAATGTACCTTCATCAGCACATTTTTGTAGCATATCTACAAATATATCTATAGGCAAGTACACTGCATCAGGTGCTGTGGTAAACTTAATGAATACATCTATTTGGTCTAAAGACGAAGTAATCAACCAGTCATACGAAGTACCCTCAGGAGAAACCGTCCTAAATCGAAGAGTTTCTGTACTAGAATCCCCAAAACAACTTAAAATATACGAAAAAGTGCAATTTTTTATTGCAATAAATGGAGCAGGCCAGACTTTTACGCAGACAATAACAACTACAACGGCACAAGCACACCCACACAAATATTTTAGATATGGGTTGATAGAGGAGCTGCCTCCATCACCAACTAAGAAAGAAAAAAAAAACTCTTTTTTAATTTGCTCAGCCCCCTCTAGTTTCTTAAAGACCTCAATAAGAGTATCTTCAATCACTTTATTTTTTTCATGCAAAGAGACTATCTCTGCCTGAATAGCCGTTACCGGGACGTAATACAAATAATAATAAACGCATAAAAGAAATATTAAATTTATCAAAAAAAGAAAAATGATAAATAAAGTTTGTGCTAAATTTTTTCTGTTATTTTTCATCGGGGGTTTTTTTTTTTTGAGAAGAGATTAAAGATGGATACTGCGGGTATAAATCCCGGCTTTTTCGTGTACTTAAATTAAAATTTTGATTTTTCACGACATCAAATGTTATAGTATTTTTTGTATTATGATATAATGTGAGTATTGATAAACCAATAGCAGACTCGCTCGCTGCTATTGTTAAAATGAACAAAACAAAAATTTGACCAACAATATCATCAAATTGTTGTGAAAAAATTAAAAAATTTAAATTCACAGCTAAAAGCATTAATTCTATAGACATCATTGTTATAATAATATTTTTTCGATTTAATGCTACGCCAATCGTACCGGTAAAAAATAAAAAAGTTGTTAAACTTAAGATTTCTATTAAAAGTATCATATTTATTTATGAGTACACTGGGATTTGAACCCAGGACCTGTGGATTAAAAGTCCAATGCTCTACCAATTGAGCTACGTACTCCAATGAATTGTGGTTGATTAAGAAAAAAATTATAATGCGAAAAGAATTAAAAACGCGATCATTAACGCAAATAATGCTATAGCTTCGGTTAATGCAAAACCTAAAATCGCCATCTTAAATAATTCATCTTTTAATGATGGATTTCTAGAAGTGCCTAATACCAATGCGCCAAAAACAGTTCCAATACCAATACCTGCACCTGCTAAACCTATTGTAGCTAAACCTGCACCTATACATTTTGCTGCTTGTAATAACATGAACACAACATAAATGTGTTTATGACATTTTCGAGATCTGCTAACAATCTATCTTTTATATACGCTTAAAAAGTCTAGAAATGCGTAATTAAAAGGCTTTTAATCGAAAATCTGGGTTTTTACGGGAAGTTTTGCACTTCCTGTTTTAAAAGCTTTTATAGCATTTTTCCTGTTAATACCACAAACTTCAAATAACACAGATCCTCCTCTTATTTTTGCTACCCAGTGTGATACATTACCTTTTCCTTTACCCATTCTTACTTCTGCAGGTTTCTTCGTTATAGGTAAATTTGGGAATATTTTTATCCACAGTTTTCCTTTTTTTTTTATTTTACGTACCATAGCCTGTCTTGCTGATTCAAGTTGTCTAGCGGAAATAAAACCTGATTCTAAAGCTTTTAATCCTATTGTGCCAAAATTTAGATTATTTTTGTAACTAAATTTAACTAATTTTCCTTTTTTAATCTTTTTATATTTTACTCTGTTTGGTTGTAAAAACAAATTTTAATTTTTAATTATAATTTACCCAAAGCTTGATACCGAAAGTTCCATTTTTAGTATAACTTGTTGTTTCATGATAATCTATTTGTTTGTTTATTGTTTGAATCGGTATATCACCAATAATTATCAACCGACTTTTTGCTCTGGGTGCGCCGTTAAATCTACCACTTATACAAATTTTAATACCTTTAACTTTTGACATTTTTGATAAAAGAAATATTTTTAATATTTGCCTTAAAAAAGTTAAAAAAAAATTGTGCCGTTTTAAAAACTTAAAGTGTTGAGCTATCAATTGAGCAAATATTTTTGCTGAGTTTCTAATTTTTATAACAATCAAAATTACATTTAAGCTGTCTTTATAAAATTTCTCTTTTGAAAAACGTTTTAATGATAAAGCTTTTTTTTTTAAAGATTCTTTTTCCACCGGTGATAAAAGTAAAGACATACCTCGATTTAAGTTTTGGAAAGTAAGAAAAATATTATATTTTTTATTTGTAAATAAACTTAAACTTTCTAACAGTTGCTCCAAAAACAAATTTTTTTTTAAAATACTCTTGGTTTTATATTTTTTGTGTTGTAAAAAAGCTTTGTAGCGATTTAAAATACTTACCCGCTCAAGTTTAAACTCATTTTTTTCATTTAATGCTTTCTGATACCAGGGTGTCTTTTGATACCATGGTAAGTTATTTTGAAATTCCTTAATTTGCTTTTGAAATTGATAAGGAGGGAACTTTAAAAAATGTTTTACTTTTAAAATAGTTTTAGAAGCGGTAAGAAGTTCTATCCCGTTCAGAAAAAAGGGGTTTACTTTGTGTATCAACATATTTTTTTGATGATTTCTTCTCACGAATCTAAACCACCATGGAGATTTAGTGTTCTTCATATATTTGAACGGTGTCGGAGTTTTTATTTTTTTGATACTTTTAGCTTTTCTAATACGTTTCGTTTTTTTTAAGAATGTATGAGGCCGTCGATTCGTAGTCAAGAGATTTTCTAGCACTATCTCTCGATTAGGTGTTTTTTTATTTATTAGATATAGAGATTTTTTAGTGCTGAAGTACGATATATATATATATAAATTAGTATCATTAAAATGAAATTTAGTTTTTTGTAAGATTAAACCTTTTAAATAAAAGAATTGTTTTATATAAGATTCAATTTCAATATTTTGATAATTATATAGTGTAAATTCTTCTTTTTTTTTTTCAAAATACCTAGAATCCCATTGTGTTTTTTTTATACCGAGTCGGAAAATTTTTGGATTTACTTTTTGTCCCATTATTTTTTTTTCTTTTTATACTTAAAAGTTTTTCGAGTCTTCACAAATTCACCTAATTTGTGACCTATCATTTCTTTTACAATTATTATTTTTGTATAGTCTTTACCGTTATGTACCTGAACAGTTTTCCCAACAAAAGTAGGGAGAATAGTTGAATTTCTTTTATTTGTTTTATTATTAGATGTCTCAGCCGCTAAAGCCTCGTTTATTATAAAAAATTTATTATTAAAAAATTTTTTCATTTATGATTTTGAACTTAATCTATGTTTAGAAGTACTTGTTTTACCGCGTTTATTAGGTTTTCCCCAAGGAGTTACATCTTTTCCTGATTTACGGCCTTCACCACCACCATGCGGGTGATCTATAGGATTCATAGCAACTCCTCTAACAGTAGGTCTTTTATTTAACCACCTAGATCTTCCTGCTTTGTTAATAGATATGGACGAATGTAATTCATTAGATACTATACCTATAGATGCATAACAATCTATAGATATTTTTCGTTGCTCACCTGAAGGTAATATGATTCTACAGTCTGTAGAATTTTTTTCAAGTAAATTTGTAAATGTACCTGCCGCTCGACTAATTTTAGATAACCCATTTTTTTTATAAGAAACATTATAAATAAAACAACCTTCTGGTATCTTGGATATCGGTAACGAATGTCCTAAACTGATCTCAGCATTAAGGCCAGATTTTATTATGTTACCTACTTCTAGATTTTTTGGTGATATTATATATGAGTATTTTTTTAAAGAAAAGTCGTAAACAGATGCTATATTTGCTGTTCTATTAGGATCGTACTCAATACTTGTAACAATTCCTACGGTATTTTTTTTTCTAGTAAAATCTATTTTTCGGTAATTTTGTTTATGTCCACCTCCTTTATGAAAAGAAGTTATTCTACCAGTATTGTTTCTTCCTGATGAATTTTTTAAACCTTTTACTTCTGATTTAAGTAAAGGAGTTTTCCTTAAATATACATAATTTATTCTTATTAAATGCCTTTGTGATGGCGTTGTTGGTTTTATTTTTTGTAACATTTTCAATTTTTTATTCAATAACAAATTAATGTTTTTACTACATATAGAAAAAAATAAAATTAAAAAAGATAGTTTATTGCAAATAAAACATATACAAAATTTAACGAAAGAAATAAAAAATCAAATATTTTTTTTTAAAAAACTAAAAAAAGATAAAAATTTCAAGAATTTGAGATTTTTAATATCAAAAACGGACATTTTTGAAGTTTCTGAGGATGCATATGAGGATGTACACGATACTCTAATCAAATATGTTATAGGAATTTCCATGTTTAATACTAATACCATTCTATATTTATCAGACATTAAAGGTACTATTAAGTTTTTTTGTTCAGCAGGTACTTTAAAAATGAATAAAAAACAAAAAACCAAAAAAATTTCTGTATTAATAAAACTCATAAAATTTATGTTGCCAAAGATTAATTTCGTTTCTAATACTGATTTACTAGCTTTACACCTTAAAAATTTTAATAAACAATTAAGTCTTTTTGTTTTGAATTTCCTTTTCAAATATCGAAACATAGGTATGCTTAAAATTAATAACAATCAACCACATAATGGCTGTAGACCTAGAAAACTTAAACGTAAAAAAAGACAAAGAGTTAATTTTGAAACAAAACGTGATTTTGAAGAAATTAATTATTTTGATGTTTTGAAGGAATGACTTATTTTGAAGGAATGACTGAGCGGTTTAAAGTGGCAAATTGTAAATTTGTTGGATTCTCCATCGTAGGTTCAAATCCTACTTCCTTCAAAAATCGAAATATAACGCAGCGGTAGCGTGTCTGTTTTGGGAACAGAAAGTCATGTGTTCGAATCACATTATTTCGAATTAAATTAAATTCGAAAACTTAAGAACTCGTAAAGAGTGTTTAACTGTTTTTATTAAACATAAAGAATCTTTTAGATATTCAAATTTTATAATTAAGTTTATTTGTTTGCTTGAATATAATTTATTGTTTACTTTAATGGCTACCAAAGTTATAATATCATTAAATTGCACTAATGTATTTAAATTCATTGATGTTTTAGGTAATACTATCATTATAAGACCATTTATTAAAGATGTATAATTTCGATATATAGAATTTTGCATGATAAGTATTGTTAAAGTATTATACAATTTGCAATACTTTAACTCTTGTTTTTTTAATTCTTGTATTATTTTAAAATTATTTTTTTGTATAATCGTATTATATAAAAAGAAAAAACGAAATTTTTTAAAATAAGTTTTTATTGTTAGATGTTTGTAAGTTTTTACTGTAAATTTCACTTTATTTTAGGCTTAGTAGGGATTGAACCTACGACAAAACCGTTATGAGCAGCACGTTCTACCACTGAACTATAAGCCTAACTGTATTATATTAAATAGGATAAAAATAAAAGTTTACTCTTATATGAAAACAATAAGCACAATTCAAATTATTATTTTAATTATTTTAACAGTTTTAATACTTAGTGATTTGGCTAAGATAAAAAAACGTGTAATTAATTTATTTTTTCCTACAAATTTAAAAACTAAAAACAGGAAAAAAGGGAGTTGAACCCTTGACCTTTGGTTTTGGAAACCACTGTTCTGCCACTGAACTATTTTCCTTTTACATAAAATTTACTATGAATGCTACCTTTTTAGAAATTAAAAACAGAATTATTTTATTAATTATTACTTTACTAAGTGCTTTTTCAATAGTGTCTTATTACAAATTTTTTCTATTAATTTTAATTGTAATTTCAAATCCCGTATTATCTAACGAGATATTAAACTATTTTATTTTCACATCTATTACAGATCTTTTCTTAATCTATATTGTATTAAGCTTTTTTATAGCAAAACATACAACTTATTTCATTTTTTTTTACCATATTATATGCTTTTTATCTCCTGGGTTGTATCGAATAGAATACATTTATTTAAAATATCTTTTTTTTATTTGCTTGCTTTTAGCTATTTTATGTTGGAAATTTTTTAATAAAATACTAATTCCTACTATCTCACATTTTTTTTTAAGTTTTCATAATAATCCTCCTCAAAGCATTAATTTTTACTTTGAAGCAAAAATATACGATTATTTAAAATTGTACACAGAAATTTATTTTGATTGTTTTTTCAGTTTTCAATTCTGTATTTTTCTGATTATTTTCACAAAATATATAAGCAACAACCTAAAACTTTTAAAAAATATAAGAAAATTTTTTTATTTGTTAATTCTATTACTTTCAACTTTAATGACTCCTCCTGACATTTTTAGTCAAATGCTTCTCTTTTTCGTATTTATTCTTGGGTTTGAGACACTTATTCTTACTAATATATTAAAAAAAAATTTAAATAATTTAACTAGGCAAATAGCTAAAGCAAATTAGAATACTAGCAGTAAAAACAGTAAACCCTAATGTTAAAGGTAAAAAGCATTTCCAACCTAAATGCATAAGTTGATCATATCTATACCTAGGTAATGCTGCTCTAGCATATATAAAAAAAATTACACCAAAAATAACTTTTAAACTAAACCAAAAACTACCTGGCAATAGATTAAATGGTAAAATATCAATTGGAGGCAGCCATCCTCCTAAAAAGAGTATCGTTGCGAACGTGCTCATTAATAGCATACTTGCATACTCTCCCAAAAAAAAAAGAGCGAAAGTCATAGCAGAATACTCAACATTGTACCCAGAAACTAACTCTGCTTCAGCTTCAGGTAAATCAAAGGGATGCCTATTTGTTTCTGCTAGCATCGAGACACAAAACAAAATAAACATAGGAAACAATGGGAAAATATACCAACCATTTTCTTGTGCAAGAACTATTTCACTTAAATTAAAAGAGCCTGCACACATACAAACAGTTATAATAATAAACCCTATAGAAATTTCATAAGAAATCATTTGCGAGGCAGAGCGTAATGCTCCTAAAAAAGGGTATTTGGAGTTACTTGCCCAACCAGCCATCAAAAGACCATAAACACCTAACGCTGATGTAGCTAGTAAGTATAAAACACCTACATTTATATCAGTAAGTACTATTTTTTCTGAAAAAGGTATAACAGCCCAACCTACTAAACTTAATATAAAAGTTACAGTAGGTGCTAATAAAAACATAATAATATTTGATGTGCCTGGTAAAGTAGTTTCTTTTACAAATAATTTCAAACCATCAGCTAAAGGTTGAAACAAACCTACAAATCCTATAACATTCGGACCTTTTCGTCTTTGAATGATGCCCATTATTTTACGTTCCGCTATAGTAAAATACGCAACGGCTATCAACAAAGGAATAATAATTAATAATATTTTTAATAAAATAGCTAAAATTAATTTAATCATTTTTTAATATAAAAGCTAAAATCGGACTCGAACCGATATTTAAAGATTTGCAATCTAACACATTACCGATTATGTTATTTAGCTTAATGTATTTATTTAGAGGATAAGGTAGGATTCGAACCCACGGTATTTTAAATACAATAGTTTTCAAAACTAACGCCTTAAACCACTCGACCACTTATCCGATATGATTTAAGCAAAAAAAGGGATTCGAACCCTTAACTTTAATCTTGGCAAGATTACACTCTACCAATTGAGTTACATTTGCTAGACTTTTTGTAAGACCTGTTGGAAATTTAAACGAATTTAATAAAAAAAAAAGTTCTTCGTTTGTTATTGAATTCGTTATGAACGTCACTTGGAGATTTTTTAATAAATTAAATACAAGATAGTTTTTTTCTAACTCTTTAAAGATCATAATATTTTCAAAATTGTATGTTAAAGTATTATTATAGAACGTTTTTTTTAATAAAATTCTACTTTTTAGACGAGGCAATACTTCTAGAAGTAATTTAGATAAAAATTTATACATCGAAGTTTTTACAAGTATAACCTTACACCCAACAGGATTTCCTTTTCTAATTTTTAATACTATATTTGATTGTTTCGATATGGTCAATTTACCCTTTTTGTTGTAATTAACTGTAAAAATAACAAAGATGTTGATAATTTTTTAATTCAGAAGTTTTACACCCAAAATTTAAAACAATTTTTTTAGTTTTGGGATCTCTTTTATATTTTTATAATTATATCTGTTAATTAAATCGTATTTTATAATATTATTGTAATAATATTCTAGAAAACTCATTGCTTTATAGTTTTGGTTAGGCAAATCCTGCAGATATGCTTGCAAATTTCATATACTTTGTTTTTAGATTTTTCGATACTGGTCCAATTATACGTGTTGCTATAGGATTGTTTTGTTTATTAAGCAAACTTATGGCATTATCATTGAAAAAGTAAATGTTTCTTCTTTGTTTTTAACACGATTTTTTGTACGTAGTATTAATGCTTTATAAATCCCACCTTTTTTAACTTTAGATGTTTTTTTAGATTTATTTCGCAAATGACTAATAACTACTACAATAATGTCACCCGCACAAGCAAATCTTTTTTTAAAACCACCTAAAACTTTTATACATTTAGCTATTTTAGCCCCAGAATTATCTGAAACTTTTAAAATCGTTTGTTGTTGAATCATTTTTTATATTAAATATTGTTTATAAAAGCGTTTATAACTCAATTGGATAGAGTTTCGGATTTCGGTCCCGACGGTTATAGGTTCAAATCCTATTAGACGTATCTTTAAAAAAACCATCTAAAAAAAATATATTTTTTTTTAGTTAGTGCTAGCTTATGCTTAGCTTCTTTGATCTTAAATAATTCGCTTTTTTTATTTGCAAACGCTACTATTTCGTCGAATAAATTTGTGCTTGGAATTTTAACAATAGATTTAATTCCCAAAGAGATTCTATTTTTTTGTTTTAACACGTAAGGAAATTCTCTTATACTTTTCCGTTTTCTTTTTTTTATTTGTCTCAATTGAATTATAGGTGCGGAATTGACTACGGCCATCTTTATAATTTCTATGTTATTTTTCTTATTTTTTTTTTGCAAAATTTTTAAAGTTTTTAAAAATTTATTTTCACAAAGATGTTTATTCCCGCTAACCATTAAGTGATTATATATATTTTTTTTTAAATTTACTTGTTTTTCTTTCATTTTTAACTAACTTATATATATTTGCTTAAATTCTTAGTACCATACTTTGATCTAGACGTTTTTCTATTTTTCAACCCTAAAAGATCAAGCTTTCCTCTAATTAAATGATATTTTACTCCAGGTAAATCTTTTACTCTACCTCCTTTAATTAAAACAGCAGAATAATCTTGTAAATTGTGACCTTCTCCTGGGATATATGCAGTAACTATTTTTCTATTACTCATTAATCTTAATTTTACTAATTTACGTAGTGCAGAATTCGGTTTTTTAGGAGTTCTTAAAAAAACTTTTAAGCATATACCTTTTTTTTGGGGGCATTTTTGTAAAGCAGGCGTTTTATTTATTTTTGTTTTTGGTTTCCGTTTCATTCGGCATAATTGATTAATCGTTGGCATTTTATTTTTAACTTATATAAACTAAAAAAAACAGAGTTTTAAAAAAAGCTTCTTTAAAAAAATTTTCATTATCGATAATAGGAATATCAATATCAATATCAATGACAATTAGTCCTATGATGGCTAACGCTAACAAAAAACATATAAATAATTTTTTTACGACTAGTTTTATTATCAATGCCAAATTTTTTGAAAAATTATAAAGCAGATAATTATAAATTAAGTAATTAGGTAAAAAAATGGAAAACACTATAATAAATAAAATTGTTATAGTAAAAAAGAGCCTAAAAAAAACAAAAAAATCAAGCCAAAGATAAGTTTTAAAAAAAACATATTTGAATAAAAAAAATAAAACACTAAAAACTATTTTATCGTTTAAAGGTAAATATATTATTTGAACCAATTTGACTTTTGCCCAACGAATTCCTATATGAATCCATTTTAAATAATTATTGGAGGAAATTCGTTTAACTACTTTAAATTTTAGTGAGTAATGTTTAATAAAAATTAATAAATACACACAGAAAAGTATTAAAAAAGTTCCAAATTCTAAAATCGATAATATATGTATATTTGTAAAAAATATTTCAATATAAATATTATTTGTGTAAGAATGTTATATCTAAAATCGTGCTCTGAAATAAATTTTTAGCTCCAGTTAAATTATATTTAGGTTTTACATATTCTTGATATAGCCAACCGGCAATTGCTTCAGGATAAGTTAAATACCTAGCACTAGTTGTGATATTTCTATAATAACATTCATTTTTAAATAATTTATAAAAACTTTCTTCAAAGTTAACGCTAAACAAATAACCTAATAAAAGTGTCCACATTTTCTTTTAATAATTACCAAAAAAGGGACTTGAACCCTTACTCTGTAAAGAACTAGAACCTAAACCTAGCATGTCTACCAATTCCATCATTTTGGTTTTTTACTCATTATCGGACTTGAACCGATACTCTATATAGAATCAAATTTTAAGTCTGACGTGTCTACCAATTCCACCAAATGAGTCTAATTTGTAATGCCGCAGTTTGATATACTAACATTAAGTTCTCAAATTTTTAGTTTATTAATAAGTTTATATTTGTTCTATTATTTTAATATCACGAATACGATCTTATATTACACTGAAATTAAAAAATATAGAACTAA